GCGGCCACCCTGCCTTCCCGGTCCTGCGGGAGCGTGCCAGGGACCGGCCGAATTCAAAGACGCATGGGTGTGTGCAGGATGGAGGACTACACCTTCGACAGCTTTGAACTGCTTTTCAGTGGAGCTGTCGATAAGGTCAAAAGCCATAAAAGTAACCTCAACCTCAGTAAGTCTGACAGCTTTGAACTCGGGGATAAAAGTGCATTTTTAACCTGGAAATAACAACTAACGCATGTAATCAGTGATAGGTGAACTTTTGTTTATCAACCCCACGGAGGTAGTTATCTGATGGCCTCATCTGACCCATGTCAATATTTGTCTCAATTAGCTACTTAGCATCTGAGTGATACGCCAACTTAAAATAGAATCTCCCCGTTGTAGTGGATCATGAGCATGGGAACTGCAGTCCAGTTGGAGTATTAAAATTAGTTTAATGTCACTCTTAGATTCACTTCTTGTATTGTGTGCATGCTGATTTTGGAAATTGTTTTGCAATGTGTGCAGTTATAAAGGAAGTGTGTCAACTGACAGTCAGTGGTGGTTGCCGCTCTCTCGTGACACCTCAGACACCACAACGTTTCCCCCTTTTTTTTATTTGTTGCTTTAGTAACCAATAAGTAGAAAGGCAAAAAAAATCGCTGAGACTGAACAATTTCTCGAAGGAAATTTTCGAAATATTTAACAAAAAGCGTCCTGCTAAAGGAAATCAGCTTCTATTCTTGTAAGACCAGTTTTGTTATTCAATTTTCTGGCAATGTTTTAGTACATATAACATCAGAGTGTTTTACCCGTCTTCTGATATTACCCTTATCTGGTACAAACAAATCCACACCCTTTAACTGCCTTCAGCATCACCAGAATTTACTGCTGCTTTCAAAACCTTAATTACAAGATCCTGTAATGTGTATAAGTCGCTTTACGTTGATGTTTTTTCGTTTCTATTCACAGAAATTAAGCTTTCATGGAAAGCCTGTACAGGAGAGAAGGTCAGCGAGATTAAAAGTGACATCTCCTGGCATGGCATTTAGCTAATCCCCTGTCTGTGAGACAAATGGTCTAGTTACCAGCCTTCATAATGGCCAAAGAGACCCTGTGATATGGTAACCCAGGATGAAGCTGTGTATATATAGAAGACAGCAATCCAATTTTAGAAGCGGAACAGGCGTGTTGACAGTATTATTAATATGCCATCTGATGTAGAGGGCCTCTGTGGAACAGGAAAACGATTGTACTCTATCTTTCTTTGTCTGACACACATACCATAATGTGTCGTGCTGTGCTCCATCACACATTTGTGGCCCCCAGTTCCAGCACATGGACTCTTGGAATGAGGCATCTAGGAAGGAAGCGGCCGGTGTGGAAGGAAACTACAGGGAGGAAATGTACATAGAGGATCTTGGACACAGGAATGATAACACAAGATAAAGGGAGGGGAGTGGGATTCAGCTAGGGGGCAGGAAATACGAGGGGAAAGGCAGGGAGTGGCAGTGTGGGGAGAGGGGAAAAGGTGAACAGTGGCAGGTTTGAAAGACGGTACAGTATAACCCTTATGTGTTGATAGCAGCAGAAACAAACAAGCTGCATTACTTAATCACTGTATTGACATTACAGAATATTGTAACTCAATGTGAGGTCGCGTTCAAGGATTCACATGCAGCAATACACAAGTTATCAGTGCGATGAAATTCTTAGTTCGCACTGCCTTGATTGTTTAAAAAAATAGCCTCATTCAGACACACTCATCACTCGCATCCACTCAGACATACTGAGGTAGCACATATGCACATACCAAGGTTATAAAAACAAAAGCATGAGCAGTATTTATGGTGCAAAATAGTTAAGATCTGCTCGTAAGTACTGATAAAGGCAACGTTGGATATAGTGCGAAACGGGCATGTGCAGTAATATGGGCATAAATTGCAGCACACTGGAATCAGGAATAGTTTTTTACATTTAAAGGAACTTAAGCTAGAGTTAGTCAGACAGAAAAACTGACATGTGGAAGTGGTCACCTGGAGTTGCAGACCCACCAAGAAGTCAATCCACTGAGCACAGTTTAGTTTTGTGCCATACAGTCTTAGCGTTCTCATCAGCAGCTGCCATAGTGGAGCATTGAGCTGCTAAAATGCACATATTTCCCATCAGGAGTTGGTGGGAACCAACGCGTTTTTTGGGTTTTTTTTGTCTTTTTCCTTCAAGGTCTGCAAACCTCTAAAGCTCAAAGTCTGGCGTTTTCTCTCCCACAGTGAGCACTGCTCCTAACCTGCCTGAAAACACCCACTTTGAAGTCCGGACTTTTCTCCCGTTACTTATCTGTGTCACCATGTAACACATTTACATAATGCCTGCTTAGCGGCTAATTTGGCACGCCCTCAAACAAAGAATGAGCAGCTGCCCTCCCAGTCCGTCCACCATTATTTCCCCGCTAGAGTCGCATCTGCTAACTCTAAAACGTCTCAAAGTCTCCAGCTGATAGCGGCAGACAGCTGGCATACAGTCCTGAAACCTCGGGTTACAGTACCTAACTAGTGTTGCTCTGCTTTTGTTGAGCCTGCTGACCAATTAGAGCGGACTTGGCTTTTCAAACAAGGGGGCGAAAAAGATGCTCATGCAGTGTACAGTACGAGAATATGTTGTTTGGACATTAAGGCATGTAAACATATTTCTATAAAGATATATTTATGAACCTGTAAATAAGTATAATATGAGCTCTTTAATCTCATTAATTAGACAAAAACACAAAGGAACAATTATGTTGCTTCACATCTGTTGACATGTTTACCCTGTTAGACTCTATACAGTCGGTGTTAATGATGTTTACAACTTGTTGCACTTTCCAAGTAGCCTAACAAGCAATTAGTACAGGTTTAAATGAGCCACTAACACATTCCCGGCTGCCCCGTCGCCATCAGGAGTCGGTCTCTCTTCGCTTACAATGCAATGTTTGACAGAAAGAAGTTGTTTTGAAGTCATCCTGCTGTTTAGCCTCGGTATAGCCTAAACTCCTGATCCTATTCTACCTACACCAACCAGAGGGCACCGCCGCTGCTGTCAGCCATTTGTTTAATAGGTTTACAGTTAACTGTGGATCTCCTGGCACAAGAAAGCCTAGCGAGCATTAAGCTGCTTAGCCCATTGCAACCTTTGGCCTGCCTCTTGCTGGCTGCACCTACAGACGCACATGCAATCAGTCTTTATGTCTTGTTATCATATATAAATACCGTACTATCAACACATTCTTGTGTTAGGAGGGCGATACAAGCTATGCTAGCAGGCTGGAGGAGTCGTATTACATAGACATAGTCACTGAGTAACTTATACTTTACCTAAAGGTTTTAAAAGATAGAATTCAAAAAGAGCTGAATACTCCTGAGCTGCTCTTCCTGAACCAGAAATGCAAGAAAAAGATACACAATAGGGGAATGTGGAGATATAGTATATGGCCTCTCTCAGGAAGAGCACCCAGGGTTGTAGTCGATGCTGTAGCTGCAGGAGGTTCTGCCAATGAATGTTTTATTAGCGTTAATGGGAAGGGAGAAAGGACAGGGGTGAGATATGAGATTGGGGTGATGAGAAAGAAAAAACGGCAGCTAAATTCTTGTAATATGAATCCTCTGCTGCTAATGGGATGATCTCAGAAAGAGGTTAGAGGGGGCAGCTGATGTACATTTTAATTAACGCCGGGTGCACACCTTTTTGAAATCTATTTTTTTTCTTTCTTTCTTTATGTGCATGGGATTAGTTGTATGCATTTAGAGAGGATTTAATCAGTGCTTTTGTGTGCCCCTGCTGTCTTGGCATCTTTAAGTGAGCATCTGAACACACGCAAGTATTGATTTATTGCTGCACGTGCGCACACTTTCATTGCCTCCCCCGTCCTCCAATATTCATGTGTCCCTTTAATCGGGGACAATAGACGGAGAGGAAACACTGCTGATGTTGCACCCCGGGCATAGAAAACCCTGATACCTGAAACCGGTTGATTCTAAGAGTTGATTGACAAGGAGGAAGCGTGGGGGACAGGTGAAGGTGAAGGATATGGATGGCGGCAGAGGGGAAATGTGAGATGCACCGATAAGCACAGGGGAAAATCTCTGCAGTGTTATTACTTAGAATTTGATCACGTTCAAAATATTTCCATTATTTATCTGTCTTTACTCCAAAACCCACTGGCAGGTTGGAAAGGCATTTTTGAAAAATGACAGCATTTATGAGAGACTGTAAAACAGAAAGAAATGTTGGATTTTGAACGTTCTGACAGTCCTTGAACTACTCGTCTATGAAAGTACTGTTCTGTCGGCTTAAAATTGCGATATTTCATCAAAATCACTTTACCCTACATGTCTCATTTGAGAAAAATTAGTACCAGATTCTGTTAAGGAACAAAAGTTTTGTGCTCTACTGTGTAACTCAGAAGCCATTAGTGAGTCACATGAGAAAAATTCAAGGGCTTCTCCACTGTACTGGGATGAACTGCAGGCTGTGTTTACATGATATAGAGAGGAGACAAATATGGAAACTTGAAACTAAATTTAAGATATAAGTAGTCAAATATGTATATGTGCGTCCTGTGGGCACTTGGAAAAATCTTTACAGCATTAGAACTTTGTTTTGATGCACAAAAGCTATTTTTGAGTTCTCTCTACTTCTAGCCATGTTTGTGCTCATCACATAGAGGTCTGGGATTTTATATGTCGTTAAAAAATGAGCCCACAGTTAATAACAATAAGACAGGAGTAAAAAAATAAATAAATCCCAGATACTGCTTGTAGGATAAATTGATTATTCTCTAAATTAATCTGTTTTCGTGCAGTTGAAGTTGGAAATGAAAGTGCATCCACACCGCAGGATTCAATTCTCCACATAGATTAAATCTAAAATACCTTCATTCATACTTACCGATGTCCTTTTCATGACCCTCACCGTGTATGCGGGTGTTATTGTTTTCATAACACAATTTAAGATACTGATCTACCGTGTGTGTGTGTTGTGTTTTCCAGAGGAGGAGCTGAGGAAGTTGCGGGAAGAGACCAATGTGGACTCCCTGCGGCAGGAGCTGGAGAGAGAGCGCAGCAAGAGGATAGACCTGGAGCAGAAGATGAATGAGGTGCTCAAAACCAGGTAAGGCGACAACAGTCACGTGCACAAGTGGACGACGGCGGATAAACAGGAAGTAATCGTGAGGGAAAGACAGGAAGCCGTGACGCTGCACTTTGCAACAGTTCAGCTCAGCAGAGTTTACCATGGGTCAGTTTGGCTGCTATTTGTGCCAGCGTCGGTGCTACCCAAGATTTCTGATATAAATAGAAGCATCAGCAGCTTGGTAGGCGGAGAATTCCACAAGGAGGTGCGTCTCTGCGTGTTTTGAGGGGGATGGAAAGAGAGAAAAAAGAAAAACAGAAGCGAGTCACAAGTCACCAATCCGAGTCGCCAAATGCTCACTGTGACACGGAAGCTATGCTGGTGTCAGGAAAAACCTGCGTCTGTTGGCACCGGCCGAGCCCTTAAACCCGGGGTGAAGGGCCCCCGAGTGTGTGTGTGTGTGTGTGTGTGTGTGTGTGTGATCAAGTGATGCCTCTTTGGCTGCCGGTGGGAAATTCCACTGGTGATCTCTAAGTGATTACCAGCACAGAAAACATGGCCTCAGGAATGTCAGAGACAGTTCAAGAGTTTGTAAGGGCTGAGATAATGCACCATGACTTGGGAGTTTTCCTCAGTTAATCCTTTAGCAAGTTCCAGATGGAGACATTCATGTGAGGACAGCAGGCAGTAAACATTTCTTTCTAACACGAATACTCAAGTCCCCACAACCAACTTCTCTTGAAGCCTTGATTATCAGTGAAAAATAATTACTTTGTCTTGAGGGAGGAGATTAACACAACCCAAAACTCACCGGCATGTTATCTTTAAAAAGAATCACAAATATTACACCATTAATCAGAGCTACAAAAAGAGAAAAATAATAATTTGGCTTTCAAGTTTCACACAGTCCTTGAACTAATCATGTGTGCTGTGCAGGAAATTAACCAGTTCTGAGCTTTAAAGTTGTGATACTTCATCAAAATCACTTTATCTTGTCTCCTCAAAAACAAACTGTTTGCGCCGGCAACTGAAGCAACAGAAAAGCAACGATCACATTAGACACTCAGCTTTGGCAGACTCTGCTGAACTGCAGNTGTGGCCAAAACGTGTCACTGTGACCTTTGACCACCGAGTTCAGTTCATTGTTGAGTACAAGTGGGCGTTTGGTTTAAATTTGAAGGAATTCCCTCCGGACATTCCTGATATATCGTGTTTACAACAATGTGGTGGACACGAGGTCACAGTGGTTTTGACCCTTAAAAATGTAATCAGTTTAACTTTTGGTCCAAGTGAACATTTGTGCCAAGTTTGAAGAAACTCCCTCCCGGGGTTCAAGACTTATTCCGCTCATGTAAATGGAACAGACGTACTGATGGGCAACTTGGAAATTATAATGCCTCCGCTGTTACTGGCTTAGAGGTATAAAAACTATTCACATCCACATAGTAGCTTTTCTCCCCTGAAGCTTTGGATTCCTGAACAGATGGGGCTTGTTTGCAAGAATTTTCTTTGAAATGAGTTTTTTTTAAATCAGCAGTAAATACCAAACACTGAAAGTTCTACAGCTAATATGGGAATAAAGGCAGCGTTCTGTAGTATACAATGTAAAGTCTTTGTGTGAAAATTGATTCTTCTAAGGCGGTATGTTGATTAAAAATGTAGAAAGAAGGCCTCGCAGCTGATGCCGAAATCTTTATTTCCGAGAGCTTTATGTTCTGTCGAGCTCAACCGTAGCAGCCGTGAGAATACTTGATCTGATGCGAAATTGCCTGCAGTTTTGTACCAACGATAAAACACACCCAAACCATGACAACAGCCTAGAAATTACAGTTTCAAATAGCTGTTTCTGAGTTGCTGCATATATATTGGATTATGACGACGGTGCATAGTGTTATATTTTTGCCTCGCAGGACAAAACAGAACAGCTTTCTTCAAGCTTATTAAGGTATTGATTTAGAAGTAGAATATGTAAGAAGAGGACTCAGGTAATTGATTAGCACGTTGCTAATTTGGGGAGCCGGCAGACAGAGGAGTATGGAAGTAATTGAGAAGCCTGAGTTTAGTATCCTTTGAGGTAATTATTCAAGTGAATGAGCATTCTGCGGGACTCGGCTTCATCACTCATTACTCCGACGATGATTCATTCTCCTTCTAAATAGGCGGCTTCAGTACATGCATGATAATGAAGACGTCTCTGTGTCTGTTAGGGAGACGGTCTGTTCTGTCACAGGTGAGCTCTGTTCTACAGGAAATTAAGTTGTTGATGCATTAAGGCGTCTTGACACTTCAGAGGCAGAGCTTTCTGTAGTCGAGAGTTTGTGAGGGGGAGTGTCACGTTAAACACACCTGTGATCGACGCCACATGTAGCGCGCACGCTGTCAGCGTCTCATTTTTAGCTTTCCACGAGTCCGTGTCACGCTTTTAATTTCGAGGTTACATACAGTAGTGCTGAGTCATCGTTGTGTAGCGTGTGAGAATGCAACAGGTGGCTCTGTGGGTAGAGACGCTGAGTGGAAAGTGGAAATTAACAGACTCGCTGTTTTGTTTTGTCAAGGCGGCATCCAGAATGTCAGAATGCTTTCAAGACCTTGTCCGGTGAAAATTTAGCATTTTTGCTGTTTACCTCGTTAACACGGGTTTCTGTTGTATGTCGGAGGACGTCTGTGGCTGCATGCATAAGAAACCCAAGGAACCAGTCCCATCAACTCGTAGGTGAGGCTTTCTGTGTCATTATCCTTCTTCAGGGTCAGTTTCTGGTGCGAACCTGACTTGCTCTATTATCACACCTTGTCTTTCTGTGGTGTGCAGTAGTTTTACAGGATTGTAGGTGAGCTGATGAGCTCAAGCTGCTGTGGGTCGAAAGATGCTGAAGTCATTTTAAGACAGAAAGCGGTTATTTTTGTGGAAAACACTTCTAAATATGCAACTTTGATACACAGAGATGAATGTTTAGGGGTTAAAGCAACAACCGGAAGGGACACCTTAAGTGAGAAACTGAACTGTGCATTGATAAAATACAGTGGCTGCATGACATGACTAGCACAATCTGTTAACAGGATGTAAAGCCTCTCTGAAGCCAGTCTCAGACGTCCTTTAGTCAACCGAAACTTCAAGTGTGAACAAGCACCATGGTCACTTTTCTAGAAAGGCGTGATGACAGTCTGACAGTTTCAGTGTGGTACAAGTCTGAACTGCACGTTGTCACACTAATATTTAGGTATGATGTGACTTTGAGTTGCATGAAGTGACTTGAGGGAAGATTTTTTTCAAGCTTGTAGCACCAATATTTGTCCAAAACATCACAGAAAGCACAAAAGGTAGAAATCACTTGTTAACTTTGCTCTACCATTGCACATCTATTAGAATACAAATTAAAATTTTATATAAATAAAACTTTGCAGTGGTGACAGCAGAGACTCATAACTCAATTAAAGTCACAGTAATCAATGTCGTCCATTATTCTGTTGAAGTTCAGGTTGTTGCTTCCAGCTGTTTGTAGGAGTCTTTCCTCTAAATGGAAAAAAATACCTGTTGCATCAAACAGCTGCAGGATCAATATGAGCATCTCCAAACTGCATTCATACACATGAAGCAACAGAACAACAGCGCCGGTAACTCAATTATTTATTTCTAATTATACATCACATGAACACAGGATCAGTCCAGGTCAGGAACAGGAAGTCACACAGTGTACTTTCCTCCTCCTCGGACAGATGAGCTGTCACACACAGTTCATAAAGTCCACTTGTTGCCCAGCATCCGTCCTCAGGTTGAGTCCTGAGCTCCTGTCGGGGTTATTTTCATTGGCAGGTGATTAATGACAGAATGCCGTCGCTTTAAGTAACCAACGAAGCCGGCAATAATTACATATTCCATGGGTCATTAGTAAAATATGAGTTTTTCTTCCTCTTGCCCTGAAAGCACTCCTGGTTTAGAGCAGCCTGCAGTCTTGACCGGTTATCTGATGTAATGAAGTCTATAACGTGATTACTGTTCTCCAAACAAGCAGATGGTATCCTCCCCGCTGACACAACATTGGATTATAGAACATTGTTTATCTTGATTATTTATTACATGCTTATGTTTTCACCATATAAATATTTGAGTCATGGCGTAAACATAGACGTCCACGCAGAGAGAAGGCAGACACGCTGCGTCTCCCCTACATGTTGCCCATCGAGGAGTCTGGCTCCCCTCCAAGAGAACAAGAGGTCACCGGAGAACGCATGAGAAGGAAAGCGTTGCTGTTTGGATGTTACAAGGGGAACCGTGAAGTTTGAGACTTAATCATGAGGGTCACTCTAATGTCGTAGACGGAGGGAGGGTGAGAAAAAAAGTGAGTGAAATCTAGGTCATGCAGAGATATCAAGGCCAGAGTGGAAGGAGGCCACCGAGAGGAGGAAGAATTTCAGAGAGATGCGTGTCAGATTTATCCAACCTGAAGTACAGCAGAATGAAGAGAAGCAACTGCATATTGGAGGGAGACTTTTGAATAAATAATAAAGGAATCCTTTGCATAAATCACTCACATGTCGTGTTTGGTGCAGAAACACTTGTTTGGAAAGGTGTAAACTTGACACTTGCAGAACGAGGACAGTATTTATAGTTCAAGTGTGATCGGGGCGTCGTCTCTCGAGACGAAGGTGAAGCTTGAAAGAACACGCCGTCTCACAATGCTGTCTGTCTTGTACAGCAGCAGGGGTTGGATAAATCATTATATCATGCTCTTATTGCCAGGCTTTTCTCTTCCTGGTGCTGGGCTCGGGTTGTTTTCTCTTCCACTTTTCATTGGTCAGTGCCTTGAATGGTGCCTTGACATCTGCGATCAGCTGGAGGCCACAAAGCTCGACCTCCCCTTTCTGCTCCAGTCAGCCGGTGTCGTGGCAGAAAGCGTACAACGCCGGGAACAATGAGAGGCCAATGTGAAGCAGCTGATTCTCTCCCTCCCTCTCTGTCTCTCTTTCTCTGAACCCCCCTCCTTCCCTTCCTTTCATGAAAGGAGTCATTGTCTCTGGCCTGGATTGAAAAACTCGCACAG